GTCCCCTTGTCAATTTGCCACACGCTAATTTCTTCTTTGGGGTGATGTGATGTTTCCTAAGTATGTACACACAAAATCACTCAAAAAACCAGACTTGAAATTTCTTCTTACCAATCTGATGTGTGTCTTTCTAGTAACTCTGCTTGACCTAGTTGTTGTTGGCGAGATTCGTTAGTGCAGCTTGAGTTTGCTGATCGGGCATGTGCGGGAGTCCTATGGGTTCAGTCATGCCAGATGTAGTTGGAGCTCGTAGTATTGGTTGTGTTTGTTGGTATACTCCAGTGAATCCAGGCTGCACGGTCGGGAAAGCTAATCGCTGACCCTGAAGGGCCAAGTTGTACATGGCACTGGCCTGTAGGTTGGCTAGACTCTGCATACATGGAACATTGTTAAAGTATAGCATAAAATGCAATGACACAGAGAGATGAGAGGCAGAGATAAACTAACCAGTTGTCCATTCGTGTAAATGTTTTCCTTCTTTTCTTCTTTGTTGGTAGAGTTTATGGTGGGTGCTGATGGGATGTGGTTAAAAGCAACTGCGTATGAATCATATGGTGATGGAATTGTCGTAGGTGGAGAGTTTCCAGTGTCGCTTCCTGATTTGATGTGAGGGAGAGAGAGTTTAGGCCCTGGAGGTGTTGAAGCATCATCTCCAGGCGGTAAGTAAGACTGTTGCTGGAACCCATTTGGGTTCAAGTACTGGTGATTGTATGGTTGCGGCATATAGAAGGGTGGAAAATAGGGACCGTAAGGGAAAAAGTTTGGAGGGTATTGTTGCGTAAGAAGGTGCATTGCCTGTTGAGTGGCTGCCATGGAATGATCAGGATAGGAGATAGGTGGACCATCAAAATTTGCAGCCTGTAATTTTCAACAAAATATAAAAGACAATGGTTAAGACTTAGGCAATTGTATTCAAATTTCCTAGAAAGAAAAGCAGTGTGGTTAGCCCGCGCCGACAATGAAGGCACAAGACAACATTGTGTGGGGCTTCTTGAACATAACCGACCTGATGAGTGTCTGTGATTGATGAAAACTCCTCTGTCAGTTTATCTCCTACTGAACTTTCTACAGGGAGAACAGTTTGCTCTGACTGCAATGCTAGCTCGGCCTTAGGTGCGAAATTAGAAATCTCATGGTCCTTATCTTGAGAAAAAGTCGATGTATCTTCCCTGCAAACGAAAATTTTGCTATTGAAACAGGGAACATCAAATGTGAAAGTTAAAGGACTAGCCAATCAAACTAAGAATATACTCTTATCACAAAGGAAAAAACTCCTATCTAATATAAAGTTTCACTGGAGAATATCAAATCTGATAACTTGCTCATCTAAAACTGGAGAATATTAGAAAGCAAGAGACACTGTAAGATTTCAGTCACCAACCTAGCTGACGCCGCTGTCTCATGGGAAGACACAATATTGGAGTCATTACACCCATCAGTACAATTGTCCGAAGATGCCTCTTTCACAAGTTCGGAACCGAAGCTCCCAAATGTCAGACCATTTTCCAGCATTTTGGCAACCCGAAGGTGGACAGGAAATGTCACGTGTGGCCGTTCACCAACGTCTGACTGGAGAAGCGATTGATTCTTGCCTTTAGTGGCTGCAGCCTCAGAATTAGTGACTGTTCCAAAAAAAAAAACATTAGGTCGAAGCAACTATCATCAAAATCAGGAAACAATTTGTATCATTCCCAACTTAACTAAAAGAATACAGAATGCACTTAAAGCCATATAGATGAAGAACAACTATACCTTGGACTGACTGTGAGATCTGAGAAGTTCCGTCTAAAGCCTGTTGAGTACCGTTTTGTACAACAGAACCTGATACAGATACAGCCACTGGTACAACACTGGGTTTAGACTTCCCCAGGTCAACACCATCCTCAGACGAAGAAGTAGACTTGGCGAGAGGCTGTTCCTCTGCAATTCCCTTGTTCACAGAAGAGATGGAAACATCTTGAGTTTTACGGTTACTGATTCCGCTTGGAGGACTCGTAGGGTTAGGAGCCCTGCAAAAGAATACAATACTTCATGAGGCCCATTTCCGAAACAGGGGTTTAAAGACATAGCAGGAATCATATGAGTAAATTACTTTATTGCTTTGTTAGGAGCAGGCAAAGCAGTTCTGGAACCTCCTATCATGTGATTAGCTCCAGTCTGCCTTTTAAAACCTGCACTTCTTCCATTATTGGCATCTGAAATCAACAAAGAGCTTAAATCAGGGAAGGAAATAACAGAAGCTTAGAAGTATTTAACAAACATAAACTACAATGACCTGTGTATCTTGAAGCAGAGTTCCTCCGACCATTCCTGCCCCTTTCTTGTGTTTTTGTCACTAAATTCTGCAACAGCCAGTTAACGGTAATCATGAGTTACCCATAGGCATAGCAGAAAAACTGATAATGCAACTTATAAGAGGATATGATACACAAAATTTGTAGGTCGCTAAGTGAATCCACAAATCATGCATCTAAAACCAAAAACAAATAACGGAACAGAAGAACGTACCTCTTTCTTTCTCTCCCGTTTGCTTTTCACCTCTTGGAATGTATCTGAAACATATCGAAGATCATGTTAATATATGAGTACAATGGTTCATAATCAACTAAAGTGCCACAAAAAAACAAAGTACGATGCAACAATATTCATGGACTATGTTGATCTTGAAACAGTAGACAGAATCTAAACTTTATAATAACTTTGATGCACAATCTCAATCAAAGCTTACAAAAAAAAAATCGCTTTTCACAGATCCATATAGCTAAGCTGTAAAGATCCAAAGTGTGATTAAGAGGAATACGCCCAACAGTTCCTAGTCATAATCCCAATCCCAAATTATGCATATTCCATATCATTAAAAAAGATTCCATTCCATAATTGAAAAAACTACAGGCAAATTCTACCAAACAGAATTCTCATAAAAATCGCATCCAGACAAGCACATCACATGATCTTCC